TTTTTTTTTTTTTTAGTTTGGAAAGATCAATGTAGAATAGAAGCATTTGGACACCAGAACCAGAGGATGTGTTTGCAATAAACCAAATGAAGCACTCCAGAAAAATAACCTCAAACCAGCAGTGAAACGGAGAGCTTGAAGTGACCTGGCCATCATCATACCATCCCCCAGGAACTGATGAGCACAGGAAAGTGTATATGAGGATTGGGAAACTGTGGAAGCATCTGTGACAATTTAGACCTAAAGCAGAACATAAGAGTGTCACTGGAGATATTTCAGCTAAAGGCGTTAAGACTAGTTCCTAGGCAGAATGTTGTCCTCAGAAAAAAAAATTACACTATACATCTTGTTTTATGTCTTTTAATAAAGCAACAGTTCCAGCCTGGCCACCCTTATTAAAAGTTTCTGTCTCTGCCACTGAGTTTGACTAAAGTAGCAGGATAGGGAAGAGGAAGTTTGGGATGATAATAGAAACAAAATAAAAGGAGTGACAAAGAAGGTGCGTTGCATCTGATGATCTGTTTTCAGTTTTGTTGTGAATTGGTTTAATGAAGCCATCTTGCATCCTCTCTCACTGCAGGACTTCCTTGTCAGACTGAAAAAAGCAGGATCCAGAATCAGAGCCGAAGAAAGAGCCTCATAGGTCAGTGTCAAAAAAAAAATGATAGCCATCATCCAACTTTTGATGTCCTTCATTAAAACACACACATATGCACTTGAACAAAAAACATATTCCTATCTTTTAAATAAAAAAAAAAATCACTGATGGATTTTAAAAGCATGTCAGCAAGCATTTTTGTTTAAATGCCACTGTTAGAATTGGGTAGATTTTTATATTGTTCTTGCTCACAGTGAAAGGACTTGGAAAAAATAAGCAGCGACTCGGTCAAATGAAGGTAACAGAGAACCGGTGTGTGATTGCGAAAGAGTGAGTGTGGATGCGTCTTTGTGTCTGTGTTATTGAGAGTGACTGTGTCCACTTAAGCAGGATGTATGGTTGTTGTCCTGCAACCTTCACAGGAGTAATTGATTGTTAAACTCCCCCTGTGAATACACAAGAACTTTAGTTCCTACTTCCAGACGAAAACGCAGTACCCTCTCCCCTAGCAGCAATCAAATTATACAGCATGTTCCATCCTCACAAACTTAATGTTCTTAATCTTTTCTCTTTTCCTTCCTTAACTTTATTTTCTTTTGAATTTGCCTTCTGGGTTTTTTGGTTGTTGTTTTTTTTTTTAACCTTTTCTTGTTTTCTTCCTTTTTAAATGCTTATAGGCTCCTACATTCCTCGCTGCACTGAGGAGGGATACTATAAACCAACCCAGTGTCATGGCAGCACCGGCCAGTGTTGGTGTGTGGACAAATATGGCAACGAGATCGCTGGGTCCAGAAAACAGGGCAACCCTAACTGCGGTAAAACCATTACTAATAAACTATGTATTACACCAACATATGCACACTATTAATCTTTCTGAAGCAGAATGACTGCATGATTAGAGGTCTTCCTGACTCAATCTCTGTTTGTTTCTGTGTTGATGGTCAGATTCAGGTGGAAACACAAGATCCGTCTGTCCATCTCCTTTTGCATTACAACTTTGAACTATAATAATGGTTAGATACCAATATGCCTCGAAAAGCTATCAAAAATCAACACAAGGTTTTCTGAAATTATTCCAAATTTCCAGGAGAGTGTTGTTACATAAGACGCGTCATTCCTGTATGTTTCTCTTTCTTATTAATCAACACAAACTGACACTTTATCTAAACATCTAATTAAACCTAAACAGAATAATTGTATGATGTAATTCTGAGCTCTAGTATCTAAAACTAAGTCTGGAAAAATGAAGCTCTTCTAATTTTGTTCTGTTAGATTTTAGCACCAAAACTGCCACGACAGAACAGGAAGTGAAGGCATTTACTTTAATTGGAGCTGGGTTACCACACCTAACACAAACCTGGCTGGATCTCCGCAAATGTACAGATTGGAAAATAGGAATGGAAAAAAAGGCACAAGAAGCTGTTCAATTTGAAACGTCGCTCTGAGGCAGGCAGGTGGTACTGGTGTCTTCTGGTAATGGACTTGGGATGTATGAAGTTTCGAGATCCACAGTAGATATTAGATTTTTGCTGCTATTAAAAATGTAATATTCCCCTTTACAAGTTAAGGTTTAAGTTGACTGAGATTGCAGAGTTTGTACGGATGGGAAAACGAAAAATAATCTTGCAGGAACTTTTCACCTAAGCAAGCTCATGTAGAAACAACGTTGTTTCGTTTAGATCTATTGCTGCATGGGAATATTTAGTTCGACCTGGAGGAAAGCAGTTGAATGAGTTTATATTTAAAGAAAGGCAGGTGCTTTTTCTAGTATAGAGAATGGACTGTGATGTGTCTCAAAGTCAAACAATACATAAAAAGCAGCTACTGTAGGTTTGCTTTGCTGCTTTATTCTGCGAGACTCTCACTCTGTACTTATTTCTCACCTCTGTCTAGACTTCAGTTGTCATATCGGCCGTTCCTCTAGAGCCACTCGCACAGTTTCTGCGATGTCCCATTTCATCTACTTCTTAAATCTTTTCCCACTTTCATCTTGCAAGTCAAATAGAAATATTTGTCACTCACAGGGGATAGCAATGTGAAAAAGAAAGTCTTAGAAATGTGATTTAGGAACAGCAACGGAGTCACACTTTGTGGAGGAGAGTAATGAGACTGAAATATAAATAGGAAAATGTTTTTACATTTTAAAACCACACTTTTCATGCCAGCAGCAGGGACTCAAAAAAAGCAGTTAAAAAAAAAAAACACACTTTGGTATAAATCAATTCCAGAGTGATTTTACTGTGTAAAAAAAAAAGAAGAATTAGCAAGCAAAAATTCAGGCAGACATAGCGATTACCAATCAAACGGTGGACTCAGAAGAACACATTACAGCTCAGTCGAATGCCAGCCTAGATTAAGCCAGTAATTGCAGCTTCCAATATTGATAAGGTGTTTATCCAGTCACAGAACACACACAGATGCACACATAGACAAACACAGACAACAGAACTCCTTTTGTCTGTGGTGTAACAAGCTCATCAGACTCAGCCTGAATGGCTTCAGGCTATTGCAGCTTTGGAGTTCTCCCATTCCCCAATGCATACAGCAAGTCTCGCAGCTCTCCACTCATTTGGCTTAAATACAAGAAATGATGAGGTGGAAACAATGGGAGTGTGCGCCTGTACATCCCAACCTGTGAGGAACCTAATTTTGGAACATCAGTGGGAAATGACATACTGTGCAAAACTACAGTCATCTCTCAGTTAATATATATATATATATATATTTTTTTTTTTTTTTGCTTCTAAGAAGCCAGACATTTAATGTGCTCTGGATCAGTGGTTCTCAAGGCTTTCTGAAGCTCCTTTCTAATTTAAATTTCTGCTGCTTATTCATTTCAGTTTTGGACCATTTTTAGTTAAAGCGTTTTTTTTTTAATTCAATACTCTTTAAATCTGATTTCTGAATCATTCAGGCAAAACAAGTTTAACTACCCAATTATTGAACCAAAGTTTTGTCTGCACATAGCACATCTTAGGAAATAACCAGTTTGATATTTAATCATTTTTCAGCTAGCAGACTGTTTCAAATATGCAATAATTTCTTCCCATTTCTTCAGTTGTATCTAAAAAGTTATTTTTAGATACAATTTTCTTCAGAGGTCAAACAAAGATAAAACTATTTTTCCACAAAACCAAGGAGATTTCCGAAGAACTACTGCTGTTTGTAATGAGATCACGGAAAAGTAGATTTATTGAGGTAATTTAATCCAGAAAAGTGATGTGTATCAGTGATACACATCATTGTATTTGTTAATTTTATTAAGTTTACAGCCAATGAAGACAAAATTCAGTTTCTCAGAAAGTTTTGATACAACCTAGGATCAAAGGTTATGTTGTGAGTTCTGTCTCCAAGCACTGTACGTACAGTACATGAATATATATAATAAATACTTGAAGTATGACACCCCTTATGAAATAATTTAACTTTTAAATATTCTTTAGAAAATCTGGCTAGTCTACAGCTCACCAAGTAGTGGAAAATGAAAGAAAAACCAGTCCAAAGAAAAGCGTTTAAATACATTACGTAAGCCTGAGGAACCATCGATGAAGACTATTTTAAAATATTACAAGAAACTCTGGTCTTCTTCTAAGCAAAATATAAAGAACTAAAATGTGACTTACTTTTTGAATCTGCCATGTAGTTGTTCTTGACTTGTACTCGTCTTTGTTTATTGGGAATCTCTTCACAGATGAGGACCCAGAGACATCAGGGGACTTTGGTAGCGGCGGTGCCGTCATTCTTCTCGATGACCAGGAGGAGGAGCCATCACACAGTGAACGTAGCAGGCAGAAGAAAAGGCGGGGCCGGATCCACCCCCGCGGAACTATCGAGGACGACGAAGACGAGGATGAGGACAAGGACGATGAAACTGGTTATATCTGGTAGCTCCACTACGTCATTTTACCTTTGCCATCAGCTGACCAGAGAACTCTGTTAACTCAGCACAGATCTGAAGCCATTCCAACATCTCCTCCTCTGGCTGCCTTGTCAGCGGCCCATCATTTGACTCTGAACCTGCTCTTGTAATCCCTGCATTTTATCCAATCCTTCTCTTCACTGAACCTCTTTCAAACTTTTTATTCCTCAAACTCCACTCATTTCTCAGATAAATAAAAAACAGAATTTAAAACGTTTTAAACAAAACTGTCAAGATCCTGTTAGAAATTTGCCCAATTCCGTCCACATCCTTGCTTTTACTCCTCCTAAAAAAAGCCCTCCAATTTGTAAACCCTTCAACTATAGATACTTTTTTTTTGTCTTTTGCTCTGTTCCCATCCTCTTTCTCTCCTATTGATGTGAGTATCGGTGTCTCTGGAAAGTCTGTAAGCCCGGGCACATTAGCTGATATATTGGATGTAAATATGTTTCCTCCAGGAAGGCTTGATTGTGGATTCTTTTCCCTGTTGTTTGTTCTCAACTCATTTTTGTGTTCTGTGTTCCACCGCTGGGCTCCCTCCGGTGTTTTCTGCAAATTGCTGCCACAGTTTAAAGCTCCAAGATGCCCCACCGGTACCAACCCGCTCCACTCCTCTGTTAATTTTTTGGAGGATTGTAATTTTTTTTTTTTTTTTTTTTTGTGTTCGGAGAGCCCAGGAAACAATGAGATTAATGATGTATTGTTGTTGTTGTTGCATGTTTCTCATCTTGTACCTGTAAAAGAGAGATTTACCTGGCCAGGTCCAGCTCTATGCATCTCAAACTGAAAGTGATGCCTATTTTGGCTGCTACAATATGTTGCTGTTGCTATGTTGATGCTGTCTAGTGTCCTTTCAGTTCTTCTCCCAATCTCAGGAGGTAGAAAATTGTATTGCAGAGAGATAGCGGGCGAGGAGTGCAAATCTGCATGCCTCGGCCGGCCCGTATTTTGCTAAGTGGTCCGTAGGTCTGCTGAGGCCTTTTGACTGTGCATGGACACTGGATGAGGTAGCTGCTCCTGAGCTGGGAGGACATATGACATCCAGCGGAGACAAGAGTCCGCTCTGCCTCCCAACATTGGATATGTTCAGTGAATTGAAATCAACTGCGTAAATTTTTATTTATTTTAAAATTTAAGTAAAGTGACACCTTGAGTGTCTTTTGAACCTAACGTGTCAATGTCCACATGTCTCTTCTTTTCAACATCTTGGCTCGTATGCTATGTCCAAAGTCATGAGAAAATCACGAATTAAAAACACGTCCCCCGGCTCACTTTAAAACCACAAAAACATTCACACAAATTCCCCCTTTCTTGTCCCTTTTCCTTTTTCTAATGCCTGGATTTCTCTGCAGTCGAACAATCAAAGCCCTCTATCAGCTCTGACCTTTTCTAGCCTTGAGAAAGCAGCATCCCCCTTTTAGAGCCAGAGATAAATGGTAGCGAAATAAAACACTCTTATCACGCGCCTCTTTGACAGAGGAGAATGACAAAGTCGGCAGCGACCAAAAAGAACATGGAGGCTTAATGAGTGTTTTTGTAATGTCATTGGCTAATGGGACAGCTGACCTCGCTGCACCGAAAACGCCATGCTCAGCACTTTGAAGAAAACATCATACCAACAATCGGAGGCTAAAAGGACAACTGAATCTTTTGGCACGGAAAGGCTGAGTCAGCAGTCCTCGGCAGACACTGCCAGACTGAATTAGTAATTTGCTTCACATAGTCGATGCACAAAGGGTGCATCAACTCAGTGACCTTACCTATTCCGCTTGTGACTCCAGACTTCGTGAATATATAGCTGTTTGTTTATCAACTTAGTAGAACTTTCCAATTAAGATTCTCGTCAGCTGTTTGGTTTGATCTCCTTATATACTTGAAGGAAAAAGTGAAACTAACCATGTGATGGAAAAAGTAAAAATATAAAATTTTTGAGATTCTGGGAGGAAGCGGAGAAAACGCTGTGAAGCCACTGGGAAATCTCAGAGTCCACACAAATAGATCCAGATTTAAAGTCAGGCTTTTTTCCCCAAATATTAATACTTTTGCTGCTGAGGCTGCAGACAAATTCAGACCTTATAGCTTTTAACTGATTACATACAAAACTCACTAAAATTTTCTTTAGACACTTGACATTTTTATATTGATAATGTGCCAATTTATTTGTTTTTTCACCAACACTTAGACTTTTCATAGAACTTTTTTTTTTTTTTTTTTTGCAAGCCATGCACATAGGTCCTGCAAGGAGTGTCACAAAAGTTATCAAAGACAATAGTCTAACAACAGTAGTATCACTGATTGAGTTTAGTTTGGGACAATTTCCTAAAACCTTGTTGGGGACCCAAAGCTAAAACTTTGGGTTTAGAATTTGATTGAGTCGGGAAATCCTTGGTCTTAAATATCCACCTGGCTGCATAAAGGTTTATTCTATTAAATCAATAGGTCTTCAGCTAGTTAACATCATTAACAACTTATCCATATTGAAAACTACTAAACACAGTCACTGTACTATTTACTTTCATAAATGGTTGCATCATGTCCAAAATCGATAAACAGATGGTGAACAATTACAAGAACAGAAATAAAGATTACTATCTCGAGCTGTATTCATATTTTCCAGTGCTGCAGCTACATTTTTGTTAGTTTCTCAAATTATGACAAAAAGCAGCAATCTTTGTTTCTGTTTGTGTAAATTTATTGTTAACTTAAGTTGCAATGTCCTCAAGTCACTACTTCAGGACATTGCTTTAGACGAGCATTTTATTCTTCTTTCATTTAAAAGTAGATTTCTGTCCATACATTTGTAACATAAAATTTCATTTTAATTAAAAACCCTGTAGCTGCTAGAATCTACATCCTGAAGTCATTGGTTTCAGTAAAAAATTGTTACAGCAAGAAGTAATTTGATGACATTCACATATTCTACACTCCTACAATCACCTTTTTTTGATTATTTGGTATCTAATTTGTTTCGGCAACACATCTGTCGCAGTGTTCATATTCCTCCTGTTGTTCTCACACATACTCTGACACACACATTCATTCTCACGCTCTTATTACAGTTTCTATTTTCTCTTCCTGCTCTCCTCACTTTCCTGGAGTGAGTTCCATCTTCATCACAGTGAGGGGAATATGTGGTTTTGTTTCATCCTCAGGGTGCTTCGTTGCTCTGTTTCATTTCTCTATTAGCTCCTTCGTTATTGTCCACAAATGGCACCACATGCTGGGTGGATCCTCCACACAATCCCAAAACCTATGGAGACAGGTGATGCTTTGACAGTGCTGTTAGTTTTAATGGGAGTTGGTCTAATTCCTTTATTAGTTATTGTTCTTTTAAGTAGATTTGCACTTTAAGGAGGACAAAGTCTAGAATTATTATTTTTTTAAACATTTCCACTTAATCATGATGGGCTTGTAGCTCAGTTATAACCCAGGTATAATTATTTCTGTCTGATATTCAGGTATTTGTAACATTTTTTAAAAATCTAAACAAGGTTGTCAGGCATTCAGTCGAAGCCTAAAAAAGGATATCGGATATCAACCTCCTTCAGCCACGACAAACAAAACCAATTATTGTGAAGTCTTTAGCTTGAATATGAGCTCATGTGATAACTTTGTTGGCAATATGTCCCTTGAAGAGAAAGAAGTCGAGACCTACGGTTTCAGTCACGTTGTTCCATGAACATCAACACTCAGCTACACTTACATATGAGAGGGAAGCTATAAATACCTTCAATTCTCACAAAGGTCATCTCCAACCTACAGCCATCATTTCCCTTGTTTGTAGCTGTTTGAGCTACGAAGCAACAAGTCATTCAGAAATTTCCAAGAAGATATAACAAACATCAGTGGTTTCTATGGCTTTAAGGGGTTAATCAATGAGCCTTGAGCTTTTACATCCTCCTTACAGCTATTAAAGTGACAATGACAGTCACTCAAAGCATTGATGGGTTCTCACAAAGTTTACTCAAAGGAAGAACAAAGCAACAGACACTGACAGATTTTCTTTATGAAAAAAGCAAAGGTTTACCTTAAAAAAAAATCTATTTCTTCTTCTCCTGATTACCATTAGATTGTGGCATAAATTAAGACCTCTAAAACATTACGGTTCCTCACGTCTGAAAGCAGTCGTCTAAATGGTACGGATGTCGATCTGCTCAAAACTTCTCTCAAGACCAGTGCATGAACTTTGGGGTATGCTCTGACTCTCAACTTCTTGCTCTTTCCCTTGAAGTGGAGACTATGCACCAGATTTGTCTAATTACCTGGTGAGAGAAAGTGTTTTGAATAGATAATACCGTTTTGGTAGCTAAGGAGAAGTCCACTCTTTTCAGTTTAATGAATCTCACCCAAAGTTGTCCTACATTTGGGTCCTTTGGGAATCTATCCTTTATTGTTTCACCCAAATGAGCATCTACATCTTTATTAGACGTATCATTTATAATATTCTTTTTTTATATATTATGCAGAACACATTGTTGTGTGTAAAATAATAGTTCAGTGTGTTTCAAACTTTTAGACCCTTTAAGAAAACTTTATGTAGACAAAAATGTGTGAAAGTTATGGCACATTTAGGCTGTGTGAAAATTTATGTTATGTAACCTTCTCCTACCAAAGGAAAAAAAAATGTCTGGAAAGATCACATAACCTAAAAAAAACATGAAATATGTTCTTTTTTTTGAGTAACAAACCTGACCTGAGTAAAACCGAAGAGAAGCTGCGACTCTTCTGCTCAGGGGCGATGCTTTGCATTTCCACCATGCAGCCTTGTCACGTTCCCAGATTGCCACTTCTCAAGTGAAATGTCCAAGTGGCTCACTTGTTGGGGTTCAAAGCACTGCTCATTTTTTTCCCCTTGGTAGTTTTCATTCTAGCTGTGCGATCACAGACTGATTTAGACCTGTGACCTCAGGGGAACGCAATTAACTATCCGGCAGGATAAAAATCCAGCAGTTCTCTAGAGCCCAAGGACCAGATTTGTGGATCGGTGCTTTAAAGCCTGCCTATGTAATTGGCAGAGACATTGTAATAAGTAGGGATCATCTCTACCTAATCTGTCACAGCCCAACACTTCCTGTCACTCTCTCTCTCTCTCTCTGTGTTTCATGCTTGGCTGCCACTGAACCAGCCAGCCTGTGAAGCATCCGAGCAGGCCAAGACCTCCTTGTGCCTGCAAGCAGAGGGTCCATAAAAATCCAAGAAAAAGTAATAAAATTTGCAAATTACACAAGTTTTATAAGAGCAAACGTGGGTCCAGTAGTATGTTGATAAATAACTAATGATAAATTAAAATTAAATCAGCTGAACTTGGAGTAACTGAGGTTTCAGATTTTTTTTGTTTGTTTTTTTTCCCGCCTGTTTTTGTTCTCATTGTTGCCGAAGTACATTTTAAAATTAACACCTTATCCACCTGGGATTGTAAAGCTGATACCAATGTGAAAAAACAAATCCATAATTTTTCATACAGCACAAACATTAAGACAGCGGGACACCACTGCCCTCTAGTGGCATGCTTTCACTTCTAAGCCCCCTCAAAACGCTCATTATTTAACATGAATGCCAAACAAATAAATGAAGCTAAACTTTGCCTTTAATATGCAATAGTTTTTTTGTATGGATATGCTTCAGTAAAACATGCATTGCATTGACTCATAAGCTTTAACTCAAGGATTTTCCTAATCACTAACATAATTTCCTTTTGGAAATATCAATTTGCAGCCGCACACAAAAAATGGGTAAAAATAACACCCCAAACATACAAAAGGCTTTTGTGAAGTCCCTGCTTTTGAAGCTTTGGAATATTGTTCTTGACATATATGTTTACACTGGATGTAAATGTGTACAGGATGTGTCTCGCTTCTCAGTTTCTTGTAAATGAACAGCAGTGAGGACATTTTTTCCTCTGGCTACATTGCGATGTATTTAAAAGCTCAGATCCACTCGGCGCTTCCTCTCACCAGCGGTTACTGTGAACTGCAACATCCAGATCCAAGATGCGTGGAAGTCTACCACTCGCGCCGCCTTCCAGGTAGCCGGGCTTCACTGGTTGTGCGTCCGACAGACTCGTTTTGCTCTTGTTCAGATCTGGGAGAGGAAACAAAACTTTCTCAAAAATGAACCAAAGAGAAGCATCTGTTAACTGCCAGCTCCAGCAGTTCCCTACCTGAGATAGCTAACATCATCTTACGTCTGGCTCCAAAAGTGGAGATCCCTATTTCTTTCAGGTCCTCATCAGACAGCGTGAGAAATGTCTGGTAGTCAATCTGTGTGAATAACAGAAGCTTAGATCATGATGGTCGTTGAAAATTCATAAGGTTTAAGCCAGAGGTCAATAATGAGTGTGCGCGTCTCTGTCACTCTCTGCAGAACCTCTCGACCAGCGAGCTGTGTTGTAAGTGCTAATGAGCTCAGTGTGAAATGCGATTCTCGTTGTAACTCTCTGCATGTGCCTTACCTCCTGTTGTTCAAACAGGTCGATGTATTTGATTAGCCCAAGTTCGCTGAGCAGCTCAGGTAAGTCATCCGTCACGAGGGGGGAGGGGCTTCGCTGACTGCAGGTTGACTCCCTCCTCGCAGAGTATGCGCCTTCGAAGAAACATCCGCCAGCAGAGTTTTCGCCTAGATGTCAAAAGTGGAGTTTAAGAGCCAGCAGAATTTGCCTGAACTTTAAAAGCAAGTGTAACTTACATGACTTGTCACTTCTGCATCTGTTGAGTGAGGATGAAAACACAGAAAAGGAAGGGAAGCCAGGTGGAGGCGTGGAGGGGGAGGATGGAGACGAGGAAGAGGGGGAAGACGAGGAGACGATCTGGGACGCGGATCCGCGTCTGTCCCTCCAGTTCTCAGAGTCGCTACCAAGGCACATTTTCCCCTTCTCGGTAGCCCAAGACTATGAAAAGAAACATTGACATTAACGGGACGTGCCTCCTGTTTCTGCCCTTTTTGTTTTCAATTTACAGATCAAATGGTGGTGAATTTTCACAAACCAGACAGAATTTTCAAAAATGGCAACGGATCCAGTTTAAAAGCAGTCAGCTCTCATTGGCTGGCCTGTCACAGAAAATGTTACCGAACAAGTTCAATGTTCAACTCAATCAAAAGGCTGCATCCAATCCAATGTTTTAATCATTTTGAAAAATTGTATAATCCTGTTTATTTTTTTTCTTGCTTTATTTTAAAAAATAACATACAACTATGATTAACTTTAAAAACAGATTTATTGCACACATTTGATTCACATATAGAAATAAGTGCCAACTAATGTTTAATGTTCCTTAGTAATTCTGGTGGGATATAAAATAACTGGTACAGATCATTTCAATTGGTTGGTTTCCATAAGGAGCATATGTAAAGTCCTCATTAGTAGTTTAGAAATGTATGTAGGCTTCATTGTTATTATTTCAAGTAAGGATGCCTCCTCCTTGCTAGAAACTGGGCGCCCATAAAGAGCTGGCATCTGTAACGTAAAACAATCCCAGGAAGATTAGGTAAAACAAGTCAGGTAAACAGGTTGGAAATAAAATGCTGAGCTGGCTGTGATGATATCAGATTCCACGTAATTGAGCATCCAAACTGGCAGAGCTTACTCACGCTGAGAGATAAATGCTTCACACTGTTACAGGGCGATGGCAACAATGGAGGCTGCAGTGGAGTGAAACTAGCAAAGAAAACTACCTCTGGAGCACAGGCGGTAACACTTTACTTGAAGGGGGGTGAATAAGACTGTCATGACACTTTCATAAACATGACATAACACATGTCAGGAACATCAATAAGCCTTCATGAATATTTATGACTGTCATAAAGCGTCATTCGATAAATTATATAGCGTTTAATACAAAGTTGACATTATTCAAAATGTCTTTGTTATGACAACTTGACATTAACCAATAAATCATTACTGTTTAAACTTTACCTTTAATAACATAAAGTTACCTAATTTTTAAAGTGCAATCAGTAATACTTTTATAACAAATTTATATCAGTAATGATTTCTTCATTCATGAAGACTTATTCATGTTCATGACAGGTGTTATGTCATGTTTATGAAAGTGTCATGACAGCCTTATTCATCCCCCCGCCCCTTCAAATAAAGTGTTACCGCACAGGCAAAAAACAGTAACTAAATCAGCAACATTTCCTGATAGTACACCAAGCTGGTTTTATCTGTGTTACTTAACTTTAAGTGATATAAACTTCACTTTTTATTAAACAGCCATAAAAAAAAATGCTTTTCATGCTGGATTTGTATTTTTGCATGGACTATATGGATGGAAATTAACATACAGGCACTAAGAAAGCAGCCAGTTAGTGTGAAGCATAACATACTGCTCTTTCAGAGTAGAAAAGCTGAATGATGAGCTAAACTGTCATGACTACTGTACATACAACATTTGGTGATATTTTTATGTTTTGTTTTTGCTGTAGTGCCTGTATTAAGATATGGATTTGCCATTCATTAGTCCTTCTCTGGAAGAATTATGATACAGCCTTACAGATCTTATAGTAGTATTATGATACGGACTTGTGGGAACTTGGTTGATAAGGTCTAAAATTAAGATCCATTATTGACCAGCATTACCACAAATATAAGCATTTGCCAGTATATCTTTTTAATGATATATTTGCATTCATATAAAGTTAGCTTCTATCTCTTTTTGCACCTGCTGCTGATTGGTGTTAGGACTCAGGTAAGATTTGTAGCTGCGTCGGCTGATGCTACGGAGGTCCTTGATAGCTTCAGCTGGCATAGACTTGGAAAATCCGAGCCCACTCCAGGTGTCTGTGGGTGTCCGAACCTCCGTGACCACAGGTTTCCTCTGCATGGCTGTTAACCCAACACAACACAAAATGCAGGAAGGAAAATTAAGGCCACTAAGTCAAAGACGAAACAAAGCAGACCTATGCTAATTTACTGCTTGTCTCCAGATGTAGCTTATCGTATGATGAATTTAAAATATTGCAATGTTAATAGGAGAATTGAATGCAACATTTGAAGAAAACTGCTGCTGTAGAGAAATAATACTAATTAATATTATAAATATACATATTTACTATGAAAAAATATATTCTTTTCAAAATTAACTAAATTCAGCCCTTTTAGTTTCTGCCAAAATTGCCTGTGACAAACAGTGGGTTTCTTCCACATGTGAATCTGGTTCAGAAATTGCATCATCACTTCACACAAAGTGAAAGATGAACATGATTATAACCGTTGGAACAGTATTTGTATGTGCACACTCGCATCAGTGTGACTAAATGCCCCATTCATACACCAGCATGGATGTTCCTAATGACTGTGAGGCAGATGGCCCATTCAAACTGCTAATTCATATTCCCATAAAACAACACAGAGGGAATTGGTACCATTTGGCTGCAGATCGCGTCTGGATCTCTCCTTCAGCATGACGGATGGGGCAATGCATCTCCTTACTGGTATATATGGATGTGTGTATATGCTAGCATGATTGGGTCCATGTGTGTGGTGTCTGTGTTGTGTATCCAGCTCGTGTGAATTAAGCAGGAGTGCCAATACCTCTCTATTATAACTCTGGCACTGCAGCCTATAAACAGGTCCTCTATATCAGTTGTCCTGGCAGTAAGCAACTCTGAAATGAACTTCCTCTATGAAATCACTCCCTCTGCTTAGAATATCGGTATGTTACTTCCATTACGTTCTGAAATGAACTAAATAAATACTGTTTTCTTCCCTAATCATAATATATAATTCAAAACAATGCACAGAACAATATTTGTGCATCAAACCATACGATGAAACAAGTTTATATTATAGAGGGCATATCACAAAATCCACACATTTAGCCGTTAAATATATTTTGTTGTGCACTTGGAGTCTCAGGAGTGCAGACAAGTGTAATTTAGTGCTCCCCAACATCAGAACCTCTTCAAAATGCCTGGTTAAATTTTATTTTTCTTAGAGTTGTACCCACATTAGATGGAAAAGCCCTCTTTGTTTGCACGAAGCCCTTTCATGGATGAGTGTTTCAGCAACTAGCCAGTACCAAAACGAATTTCTTGAAAGACTTTAATCTGATTGAGAGGCCAATTCTGTCTATGGAAATGACAGACACAGCTAAGTGGTGAGCTACAAATAACACATTTTATTTTAGACATAAATTTATTGAGTGTTGTGATGATGTCTTAGCCATTGTTTTGATAGCAGTATGGTGTTTTCTGCTACTGTGTGCTAGCTTTTAGCTCATTGAGGACATTTATCATACTGAATGTTTTGAATAGTTTTAACACATAAACAGTTTGCCATTGTTTTTGGCATTTTTGTCTTGGGGAACACAAGATCCAAATACATTTAATGACTTGGAGCTAGCATTAGCTTACTCATTGAGGCCTTGTTTATGTGTTCATTCATAGTGTGTGGTACCGTTTTCTGGCTCACATATGGCTGGATGGACAAGTCTTCTGCTGTTGATATCTTTTAATTGTAACTCTTCCATCAAACTGCAAAACATTCTACACTAATTGTGCTCATCGCTAATATGAACTGCTGAATTTCCAAATAATTTTGCCTTATTTTTAGATCTCAAAAGTTCCTTCTCACTTATATGTCGCCGGCACAATCTTTTTAACTGTACGCCAAATATTAAAACTGTCTAGCTGCAAAAATATTTCTGCAAAATCAAAGTAAAAATAGTTTGAAAGCACAAACCTCTTGTTGCCATCAGTTTCTTCTTCTCATAGTCATAATCCTACAAAGCACAAACGGCAAATAAAATAGGTAAATAATCCATGAAATTGATTTTTCCTCTTTGCTTGCTGAGGATAGACAGCAGGAACCTAATTTGCTGGAGAAATAAGCACTGGCATGAAACTTCCTGCTGCTGTGGCAGTACACTTGTTAGCTTACTGCACTGTAACATTTGAGAGAGATTACAAACAGGAGTGGAAGGAAACAAACACGAAAATCAATTCTCAAATCAAATTCCAAGCTGATCAAGAATGTGAAGACCAACAAACGGCATAGCAGCGTGTTCCTGCTTTTTTCAGTTTATCTCATCAACGTCTGTAGGCATAAGAAGTCTCTTCTCTTTCATCTTCTGTGCCACAGGGCTAAGGGGGATTTGATTGTTGGTCCACAGAGTGTTACTCATGACTTGTTGATGTTGAAAAAAGGCTGCAGTTTCTGCTTTTCCTCACCCCAGCCTTAGATGAGTCAGCGTGAACATTTGGAGCCCGAGGAGCATCTCTCCTCAGGCTGTTCCTTCGCTCACTCCACCCTCGCTCTGTCTCTGCGTTCACCAACCTGACACGTTCAGGACACACGCACATGCGCACACACACACACATGCACAGACATGAGTGAAAATTCATGGAACATCTGATGGTTGATCATTTGTGTGTATTGCACAGGCATTCATACTGCTTTGTCAAGAGGTTCAAGTGGTATGGAACCTGAAAGGAACTGACTGGGACTCTTTGTGATTGACCAATACAAAGTTGTGAAGTGGAAGGAAGATGATACAAGGTTTTTTTTTTGTTTGTTTTTTGTTTTTTTGCAAATAAAAATTTCAAGTGTTGGACTGTTTTTTTTTGTTTTTTTTCCAACCTTCACTCTGGAATCCCTAAAGGAAATCTAGTGAAGGCAAACTATTTGGCCTTCACAAATCATCTAGATGGATGTCAAGGGTCAAGGTCCAGCTATAAAGTAAACCTTTCCCACCTGTACTGTTCAGTATTTTCCTCCATCTACCATCCAAAACATTCAGATCCCCACTGTGCTGAAGAAAAGCAGACCTACAATATGTGTGCCTATGCTAATCATGCTGCACTTGGTAAAATAAAACCTTTCAGTGATGAGTCATCGTCCATCTGGAAACATCTTGATTTTCACAAGGTTGACCAGATAATCTATCATTTATGACTTTTTTTAAAATACTAATTAGATTTCCACTTTTTAAATCTTGGTTATGAAAACACTGAGGATAAATGAAATAGATGCTGGTGTGCTGCTGCTGAGGGCTCACCTGTATGTCAGCGCCTGCCCTGTGGAGTGCCGTCTGCCCTGGCTGTGTGTTTTGCTGATTTCTGGACCTTGGAGACTCCCCCTCCTACCATTCACACCCACCCTGCTGATGTTGTTGTTGTTTCCTGCTTTGCGCACCTCAGATGGTGACATCCTCACAACCTCAATGCTCTCCTCCTCGGATTGGTCAGACTGATTCTCACTTTCAAGGATCTACAGGAAAGGTTAAGAATATGTTTTTTATTCTGTAGAGACCTTTCGGTCAGTTTTCACCCTTGAAGTCTTTTTTTAACACAAATAGCGACTCACCTTTTCCAGTTGCCGACTCTCTGTTCCCTTCGGCCCTGTCTTGCCCTCGTCTGTTGGAGAAGTGAGGCCTGGTGGTGCTGACAGGTGGGATTTCGTTCCAGTCAGCACCTCTGTGGTTTGAACAGGTGCAGAGCCTGATCAGGAAGGTGAGAAACATGCATAGTGCATTATTTCAGAGTGGCCAAGCTGTGCCAGTGCACACAGAACTCCTTAGTGAGGGATTTCTGTTCTAGATGGACACGTTTGCAGGTGCAAAACTTCAATTAACTCAGCCTCAGACTTCCTGGGAAAGAATGTTTTCTCTCCGAATGAGATTCATTTAGTCATTAAATCAAACTTAGTTATTGTAATTAGTCCACAGTAGTCAAATCGCAGTATCCATTTATGCATCCATACTGTTCAACATTTTCACCCAAGTTTTTGAAGTCAAGATAACACAGCTATGTCATTCACATTTTCACTGGTTGTCCCAGTTCTTTATTAAATCTGTGTCTTATTCCTTATGTTGTTTTATTTTGTTTCTGTCACATAAGTTAGCTCTGCAGCAGACCTTATTTGATTGAACAGTGGTGGTTTTTGCATGAACGATGACCTGGCAAAGCCAGTTTGTAACCTCCCACCAACTCACCCACAACCAGAAACACCAAATGACCAAAATGCCGTCAAAATTCCTTAAAAATTGCAAAACTGCCCTATAAATTAGAGCTAATCTGAAGCTCCAATTTAAATTTTGGAATCAGTATTATTAATCACCTGTGGTGAACTTCAATATTTTCTTCCACTGCTTTTTACAAGCCAATAGTAAAATGGGACGCAAATAAGCAATAAGAAACTTCTTCAAGGCACCACTTTTTTTTTTTTTTTTTTTTTTTTCCTGTTTTGTGCCTGTGAGTAACCCACTGGTTTCTGAAGTTATAATCATTTACAGCTGAAGCTAAGTTCAGATGGCTGGACATCCACTCATATTCACATAAACATACCCTGTTCAGAGAGAGCAAGCTGCTGCAGCAACATGTCGAGCCAGTAGTTTGCCAGTCTGCCACCAGGTGACATGAGGTCAGGGTTCACTGTAGTTATCTTCGCAGTCTCAGAGGAATCGAGTCCTAGGAGCAGACGGCGGGCTTCATAAATGCAGGAGATGTTCCTTTCCAGACCCTTCACCACCACCGACTGATAAATATACATCAACACAGATTTTTCCCTCATCAGTATTCTGCCCGCTGCAGCAGATGGATTTAATGCGGTGAATTAATTTACACCTGAATTTAAACAGATGGGATTTTTCAAAAAATAAAAAAAATAAAGAAATAAATTTCAAATAAATATCTCTTTGAAATGAGCACAGTATAACAGTCTTGTCCTAGACTGAATTAAGATTTAAACAGATGGAGCTGAGAGCTAAGAAAATAAAAACTGAATTATTTCATTTTATTATTTGTAATGGTGTCATATTTATTTGGATGTCACTCACCTTGCCTGTCTGTTTCGCTTTGGGCTTGACGCTAATGAAGACTCCGAGGTTTTGGATCATCTGAGCCACTTTGGAAGGGCCTCCCTCCCCATCTTCCCGAATGTCAAACATCAAACACACTGGCAGGCAATCCTTCATGAGTGCGCATGTAACAGATAGAAAAAAAGCGAAACACAAAAACAGCTGCGACTTTTCTGGTGGCAGTATCAGAAGCAACGTGCGACCGAAACAACAAAAAGCGTGTGTACCATGAGCTGTTGCCGAGCGAGACACACTCCGTCAGGGCTGCCCTGAATGAGCAATGAGGGGGGACTCTGAGGGGCACTAAGGTCTGGTAGGATGATCTGGGTCTGGGTCTTGTGCATAACACTTAGAAAGTTTGCACCATTTTGTCCCAGCAGGAAGAGATGCTGCTGAGCAGTGACATCCAGCTGGCTGCTCACGATCCCCCCTGAGGCCTCTGACCCAAGCAGGAGCTCCATCAGGATGCACGTCGCCTTCTGTCAGGCGACAATACATGTACGCCAAAATTACAATATGGACAGACACAAGATTTGTAAAATATTTGAGCGGTCTAGGTGAAAGTAACCTTGACAGCAGCTGCGTTGCCTTGCAGTCCCCAAACCGTGCAGGAGCTTCCGTAAAAGGCTGTCTGGGCTTGAGGCAGTGGCAGCACAGCCCTGAAACCCACACTGACCCCCAAAGTCTGCGCCACCTGTTGGATGAGTGGGGAGCCTGCATCTGGCAGAGCCTGGGGTACCAGGCTGACTGGCAGGTCAAAGGTCAGAGAGAGAGGCTGAAGGTCCTACAGTGTGATGAAGTCAAAGAAAAGATGGGTGTAAACTCAAGACGGACTGCAGAAAAGGTTGACATTTTGACAAATAGGCAGAATTATTTGTTCTTGTCATCCCATTGATCCCAGTATTGATCCACGCATCTGACAGCAGGGAAGAAGTGAGTGCTGAGATAAAGTCCCAGCTCAGATTGACTACTCACTCTTATCCTCCTCCTGGCTGCCTCTACCCCTTCTATGGGGCCAGCGATAGAAACCTGGAAAAAATAAAACCAGCAGACGAAACTAAATTCAGTTCAATTCAGACGAATATAGTTAAAGCAGCAGTATTTAACTATATTCTAAAAATATTGCTATGTTGTGACTGACAATCTGTGAAAAAAAAATCAGGCTCTTCTGCCTCCTCCCTGTTTTTCTTCTGTCATCTGTAGTCATACACGCTCGGTCAGAAACTACCAATCAGAGCCAAGGGGAGGGTCTTAGCGCTGTCAATAAATCAGTAAAACTATTTGATCTGATGAGTCTTTTGTCAGAATAAAAGTAGCTTTAGAAAATTTCAACCCTTAAGCAACATGCTTTTCATTAAGCCTGCATATTTGTATTTAAAAAAGTTAATTAATGAATAATGTATATAAAATAATAAAGTAATATTAAACATGTTAAGCATAAAAACATCACAACTAAAATATGCAAAGGTTTGAAAGCATCAGTCCATGTGTACTTAATCTGTATAATGTACTTAGTGAGTCGACTGAAATAAATGAGCGTTCCAGTTATACTCCGACTTATTGAACAGGACAGTAGATGCTGTCTTTCAAACCTGATTGCTCTTCTCTCCTGCAGCGTTGTGACGATTGGAGTCGGGGAAGTGGATGTGACAGCATGTGACTTCCATCACCCTCTTTATGTTCCCACCTCCTTTCCCAATGACATGGGAATGCTCTGTGAAAGCCACGTCCATCTTCAGAGTCACCTTGTTCACCTGTTATTCACACAATCCAGGGACTGCATACTCACTTTGAAGCAGAAAGTTAGGAAATTTCACTTTTGAAACAAAGAAACTTTAATGCATTTGCCACCATTCTCGCATAACGTCATGATCTCCGATGATTTAAGTAAATATCACTGATTATCTCTTTCTCGTGACACCTGCTAGAGTGGGATAAATTAGGCATCAAGCGAATAAAACCATTTGGTCTGATCCAACAGACAAGCTACCGTGGCTAAAATGACTGAAGAAGTTAATGGTCCTTCTGATTGAAAGGTGTCAAAATGCACAATGCACCACAGTTTATTGCATGGCTGCAGATCACTCCGGGAGGCTGTGCTGTGATCCCAAAATTAGCAAATGAGCAATAAAACTAAATCAAGGAGCAATAAAGCAAGGCTGCCAAGTCTAATGAATCAAATTTTCTTTTACATCTCATGGATGACTGGGTGCATGTATCTCTTTTACCTGGGGAACCCGTGGCACCAAGAGGGAATATGGGAAGAATTCATTGTGATGCTTTGGGCATTGAAAACTTGGGTCACTCTATCCAGGCAGATTTTATTTTGATACGGACTACTTACCTAAATGTGGAGCATATTAGTGCTATAACAGATGACAGTACTATGTTGAATCAATCTGATATATTTCACTATTAATCACCACAGCACGCCTTCAGAGATTTAGTTAAGCCTATCCTCTGAAGAGTGATGGCTGTCTGTTTTGCTGCAAAACAGCACTATAAGGCAAGTGGTCATAATGTTGTGCCTCATCTCTGCATTGATCAGATCATTGTTGACAGCTGTTACCTTGGTTTCCAGCACTTCCAGTATCTTCTTCTTGGCTTCCGTAACGTCGGTTCTCTTCCCTTCCACCTTCACGTGGGGGTCTGGTTGGGAATCACAAACTGTTCTCACAAATTTGCACGTAATGCAGTAAAACAGTGCAGCAGTGATTAGAGTGGAGGAGCAAAGAGCGTGACAGGAAAAAGAAATCTCTTGTTTGAATAGAGCATAAAGACTTTGGCACCTTTCTTTGACTTGGCTCCAATCTTTAGTTTGGATGGCCATTTCACCTGAGTGCTAGTTTCTCTCATTACCTGTGAGAGATTACACGAGAAGCAAAGCAGACACTCTCATTGTATGCGTAACGAGGGAACACACCTACACACGGTCACGCAGACAGAAGACTGCTCCGTTCCGAGAACACAAAGGCACATTTGCATTTGAAAGGGTGCAATTATCGCCTCTATTAAAAAGCATAAAGAGTGGATGCAGAGTTTGGGGCAAATATTGAAACTAGATATTTTCAGTGATCTGTGAGCTGGTGAGTGTTTTTATGGGTTCAGTAATAAAAGAGCTTCCAGAGAAGACTGACTCACTCGCTCGAAAAACTTTTCTCCTGTCTCTCCCCCTTGTTCCGGAGCTGCAAAAGACACAACATAGCATTTTAGTTTGTAGGATTTCTTTAAGAAATACTTTCCAAAATTGAGGGGATAATAAATTCATTCAATTCATTATTGAGTGAATGCAATGAAAAATAAAATTTAAAAGAAATGTAGCTTCTTTATGGTACAGCGTATTTTGCCTCCAGACTTTGAGTTGCTGTGACTCAGTGGGAAGAGTACTTATCCTAGAATTGGAAACTTGGGGGTTCTATACCAGCTTCTTCCCTGCCGCATGTTGATGTGTCCTGGAGCAAGGCGCTCCAAGATGCCTGCTGATCAGGGTATGAGCTTTTTGTGTTGTTTGTGCTGAACTCTAACTACCATTTTTCATACCCCTGGCAGTTTTTGTTATTGCTGTCTGGAAACAATATTAAAAATTGTGGAGTGGCTAAGCCAGAGTACTGGCTTGAGTCTGTGGAGGAGTGATGATTAGGGTGATTGTAAGGAGGCCTTCTAACCTCAAATAATTAGACCTCATCAAATATAAACCATTTCAATACCATTTGACATTTGCAGTAAAAGCTTGTCGGTGTTTATGAGAAGATTTGGAGTGATTTGTCAACGGCTTTATTTATTGAGAAGGATTTCAATTTGATGACTTTTTCGTGTGTTTTCAGTCAGAAAGGCAAACCTAACATGACAGCATGCAGATGAGTGTTGGTAAATACTTGTTAAATTATTTCTTTCAATAATTCAGAGCAGAGAATATCTTGAGATTTTTTTTTTTTGCTTTAAAGTCCTTCACCTTTTATTCTACCACACTCTTCCTTCCACTTAACTTTTTGTAGCTTCCTCTCATTGTACAGGGTGTTTATAACTGCCTGCTAACCATAAGTCAAGTAAGCAGTATGTCCAGTGATAGTGCATAGCATAACATGGTTTCAAAATATATATATATATATATATATATTTTTTTTTTTTTTTGAGGAACTGATTTTGGTGTTTTATGTATTTGCAAACCATTCAAATTGACAGTTTAAACATACATATATTACTCTGTCTGCAATAAAGTTACATTATATGAGTTCCAAAATTGAATGAATGAAAACACTTACAATTTTAATTGCAGTCTCTTCTGAAACTGAGCAAAGTGAGGACATGACTGCTTTGTGTTGCCATGTTTTGCTGTCCTGTTCACAGAGTAACTTTTTAGAACATAACACGCGTACAAAGTCAACATTGTTGAAACTTTGCCAAGCAAGTGAAACAAGAGGTTGCTGGAAATATATCCAAGTTTAAAAGGCCATTGCTCCTTGGTGACATTTACAGGATTCAAGGGGAGCTTTAGAAACAGTCCCCCTCCCTCGCCTTGTCATCGCTATGGGTTACGCAGGCCAGAGCTGAGGAATGGGACGAGAACAGAGTGAGGTGGAGCAAGAAAGTTGCACATCAGGAAGACAACTATAAATCAGGTTTTAGACAGCAAATCACATTAGTGGCATGTCCTGATGTAAACACCCCCCAGTTTTAGGAAGCAAAAAATGACTGTGGAAAGAAGACGCTATATAATTCAAGGAGAATTGCAATGTGACAGAAAAGCATGAGAAACATGCCTTATAGCCAGGCCAGGGCTCAAACGGACACACACCATCCAAGCTGCAAACGCGTTATAAACAAGCTACAGGCATTGGAGTCGAATTGTTTTAAGAGTCGCACCATCATGAGCAAACATAATCTCTGGCTGCTGTGAGCGAGTCAAAGAGTTTCCCCAGTGACATGAGGGAGGCATTTGTCATGAAGCTGCCAAGAGGCGATAACTAACAGGAGCAGTTACCGCCGCTTCTCAGTCAGAGAGGATAAAAAGTGAGAAGGGGCTTCTGAATGCGTAAGCCAACGCAGGTCATAAATCACAAAGCTACAGCAACAGGAGTTTAATGCGTGGCAGTTACTGATGGCAACAACAAGCAGCTGGAGGCGGTGACGCTGGTTCAGGTAGATAACAAGTGCCAACGCAGAGGAGGACTGTGATAGGCATCAAAGGGAACAATCTGTTCCTTCTAAGGCAGAACATGAAGATGTGCAGATTATGAGAGAACCAAGAAAGCTATCTCACTCACCATACAGCATGGTTTCCAGCTTCTTCCTGTCAATCCTGAACCTCTCCTCCACCCACTCTGGATCCAAGCTTTGCCTTTTTGCATCCTCTCCAGTGAAGCTTTGTACTTCTTTCTCCTCTTCCTCATCGTCCTTTTGCTCTCTGGGGTCAGTCTCACTAGTTGAGTCCAGTTCTAAGCTAGTTTCCAGTTTGGGCTGCTGAGGCCCTGTGATGTCCAAAGAAACAGGGGAGCTTTTCTCCATGATGTTGGTGGCAGTCACAGCAGGACTTAGCCCTTGTCAGTGTTTGTGCATGTGTGTGACCAAGGAGACAGCCCAAGTGAGAGAAAAAGGGGGACAGAGGCCAGAATCAACCCTCCTCCCACCGTCTTTTCTTTGACCACCCGCCTCCTTTCCCTAAATTTGGTAGGAAAATTGAAGTTCTTTCTCACCCCTTTCAGCCTATTTAAGACTCTGGATAATCTGTTGCCATGGCTTTAACTTCAAATATGCTTTAAATAACTTACTTCAACTACTTCAGCAACAGCTCTTCTGAAATCGACAAATCTGGAATCATTCAGTTCTTGATAAATCCAAAGTAGCCCAAAGTTCAGTCCTACAGAGGATCTGAATGTATACTGACGCGCTAGCTCGCAGAGCCAATCACACACTTGATGAAAATCATCTTCACAGCAGTACACACAGCTAGCAAAACATTCATCCGGCTAACCACTGGCCCTCTGCTGTTGTCTGCATTTCCCCCCCTTCTAAATAGAGAACTGCATAAGTCAGAGGTCTGAGAGAAGAGAAGCAAAGCGGTGTACTGCACAAGGAACCATGAAATTCACCTACACAGTACCCTTTAAATGGGTTTAAAGGGTACTGAAATTCACCTACACAGTACCCTTTAAATGGGTTTAAAGGGTACTGAAATTCACCTACACAGTACCCTTTAAGTCGATTTAAAGGGTACTTCTTGGTCATGTTACAATAAATAGCACTTAATTGCAAAGGGATGTGATGAAGTTCTCTAAATAACTTCATCCAAATAACTTCATATAACCAAGAAAAAAAAAAAAAGCACTGCAACGAAACTTAGGGAAAATGTCAAAATTTAACAGTAGATTTTCACAGACGCTCTCTCCATCAAATCTGACTCCACTGGAAGAATTTTGAAAAGGTCAGTGAAAATTTTCAGATATACCACACCAGTAGAAACACTACCCAGAACGTGTGTGGCATTATTTGCTGCATATGACAGAATGTGAAAAGTAAAAGGGCTATTAATACTACAGCCACTGTAAAGGCTGCCACTACATTCAGGTAAGCAAAGCATAACGGCACTGTTCAGTAACTACTCATCCTTAAGCTGAGTTCTCCCAAATTCAACTCCTTGTTTTTCAAGTATTGACTTTTTATTTTGTGAGAATTTTATGTTAGAAGCCAACACAAAGCAGTGCGTATCTGTAAGTTATTTAATAATATGAATATTTTTTAACATATATCAAGTATTTGTAATCACTTTCCTTCAGTCTGAAGTTTTGAAATAAAATGAAGAGTAATTAATTTGCTTCACTCAAGTGTTGGTAGCTGCAGTTACTTTGTTAATCATTAAAATTAAGAAGTTGATACAGATCAATCACATTTGACTGAATGTGATGCAATTGACAAATGCAATAGATATTGGGCACAATTAGTCTCTAGATCACATGTGTCAAACTCAAGGCCCGTGGGCCACATGTGGCCCGCCATGTCATTTTATGTAGCCCCCCCCCAGCATTTTATAGGCCAATGATTGAAAATAGGTTTTGAGCACGAATTGACTACATACAAACTACATCTCCCACAATGCATTCCAATTGTTACCAGCCAACATTACGGCTTCTCGCCACTGCAGAGCCGCGTCCGCAGTGGTTGAGCAGCGGACTGCGCATGTTACAGTCTAACTAACTTTTGCATTGTCATTTATTTCCTCAAGATAAACTGCTGGCTCCTCAAATGGATTAACACAAAGTTGCATTCTCTTTAGTTTTCTCCCGTCTGTAATGGAGACTTGAATTTAACGCGCCATTTCAACCAAAGGTTTGTAATGCGCTTCCTAACCATTTTTTATTTGTAAGTATTGATTTTATTTTTTAGCCATTTAGCCAAGTCTCTGTAGAACCATTTGTCTCTGCTAATGACATCTTCAATACATTTTTTGATCCCAGGCTTAGTTTATGGACTGTAATGTGAAATTAGGCACAAGTATAAGTTTGACAGATTGTTCACCAAGTTACTGTGCTCTCTGAGAGGATCTGAGGTATAAGTATTTGACATTGTTCCATGCCAATCGTTGACATTAGTCTCTAACAAATTTTGGATCATCTACCAGGAACAGTGGAAAGAGCATGAGTTTGAGCAGGGATGCACTCCTGATTTGTACCGTCAATGTGGCCCCTTGAGGGTGGCCAATATGCTGAAGTGGCCCTGGGTGAAACTGAGTTTGACACCCCTGCTCTAGATGAATAAACACATGCTATGGATGAATCTGATGAACAGGGTGCAGCCTACAGTCAGGAGCTCAGCAGCAAAAACATGACATGAAACTTTAGCTGCAATAGGCTACCAGTGAATTTACAGCATTTATTTTAAAATATTTGCGTTTATACCTGCTTGTAACTGTGAAATTATTCTGCAACAATTCAGGAGGGAATACTAGGGACATTTGCATTTCCACCTGCAGCATCTTTCAAATATGTCAGAGAAAAAGTTGTGGCTCTCTACTATACTGTTTGTGAAGTTGCTTCTTTGATGAAAATAAAAGTAGGAGAGTTCAAAGTCAGGAGTGTGCTGATGAACTGGGAATGCATAAAAGCAAAACAAGATTTCAGAAATAGCTCAGTGCTTCTTGAGTCCCTTTGCTGCTTTACATTTGTAAAAATGTCAAACACAACATGAAGTAGGAGCAAAAACAAACTGCTCAATTAGTCAGCTCTGGTGGGAGTCCCTTTTCAGCTCAGGCCGATGTTTTCCATATTGCTTTGACAAATATAGCCTCAGGCAGACCAGTAAACAGTTTCTGGCTGTGCAGAGACCCTGCTAACATTACATTCTACTGCAGGCGATTCGCCCGAGGAGGAAGTGAAAGACCTGATGATTGTGTCACCATGGCAACAGGGCAAGGAGTGAGTCACTCCAAGTTGGACCTGACATCACAAGTGCATATCTCATCCTTTGTGCCGTCCTGTTTTGTCCAGGCCCCTCTTGACTGGAAGACGCTGTGGTTCCAGTAAGATGTTGGAGACTGCGTCACGTTTTTAATCACCCGGATGGGTAAAGAAAAACAACTGGTGAGCCTCAATCCAGAAATGAATCAGAAGGTTTCTAATTATTCCCCACTTTATCGACCTTTTTTATCTGCAGAGAAAATCTTCAGAAATAAGCATCATTGTGTCCTGAGGGTCTGTGAGTCAGCAGATTCAGAAGAAAAGTTTAAGACTTGCAAAGCCAATGGGGGTTTATTCCTAATCAGACTGTTAGAGATAGTGATGACTGGTCTTACTATTTTTACCAATAATGATGGAACATTATAAAAATAAGGGGGGGTGGGGGGGGGATCAAAATGCTCATTCCCATATGCATGTGAGTTTGGAATGGAGATTTGGGGCTGCAAATATCCATATACAACAAAAATAAATATTCTAACTAAATTCTTCAAAAGAATAAGATAGAAATGAAGATTTTCTTAATATTTTGGCCATTTTTTTTTGACTGAACTCAAATAGCGGTGGTTACATCACATATGCACATTTACATACCATAAAAAAGATCTCTCCAGACTAAGATGTCCTTAATTTCATCTCAAAAGACCTACTTTAGGACTGTTTTCTAATTTTGGTTAAAAATATTACAAAAAAATGTCCATTAAAAAAACATTATGACATGACTAATAACTTTTATGTAGTTATCACATATTTTTTTACAGCTACATAGGTTGTTAGGGTTGGAGTAAGGCTATAATTTAAAACATTGCTTGAGTTGTGTTTGTAAGTTGACAGTTTTCTGTAGTTTTTGTGAAAACTATGAATAAACATGCTACTTATTAACTTTTGTGGGTTTTGCAATGCAGTTTGCATTGCAATTTGTTTATTTATAGTCCAGCTTGAAGACAACATATTGAAAATGCTTACCAAAAATTAGATTCATTCTGCAAGTCATTTTTTATATTTGTCTGGTCCTCATAAGTAAAACAAATGAAGAAATAGGGAGAAATTTAAAACAGTTCTTCATTTCAGCAAAAATATTACAAAAGAGGTGATTTCCAAAGAGGTTTAGCGTCACAGAGACTTTTTCAAATCGCAGATGAATCAACAGAATGAGGAATAATCTGAAGTGTTGTGTCAGGGCTTTTATTTATTTATTTATTTATTTATTTATTTATTTATTTTCAATTTTAAGAAATATGTCTTTCAGATGTTGTTAATTTGCTGTACAACGGGATTTTCAGGGATATTGCGCCTTTCTTAGCACTTCTCTTGCCAAGTTTTCTTGTTTGCTTTTGATAACACGGTGTAACTAATTTTGCTCACTAAATTGCACCGTGTAAAGAAAGTCAGATTTTTTTTTTTTTTTTTGGGGGGGGGGTTTTTTTGCATTCTCATGAGCTTTCCTTCCCGCTGAAATTCCCCGATTTACCAATAGGTGGTGCAATGATTCTGCATTGCACCACTTTCTCAAACTTTCACGGTTGCGTCACCTGCCCTACTTCCGGTTTTCTTGACTTCCGACACATCTCGTGACAGCTTTTTATTATTATATTTTTTTTTGCCACCAAACAAAGAGGGATAAACAGCGACTGCTGCCTGTTTATAGCGCTTCGGAAGCGATTCTTTATCATTAAACATGTATTTTCCGTAATAAGCCAGTAGTTAAAGCTGCACCAAAGGACGAACCGGGATGTGGAGAGTTCAAGGTTTAGTCGGAAGAGGTGAGAGAAATGTCATTGATCCTTTAGAAGTGAAAGTTTTTATTTTACACTTTTATCTTGTGCCGTTTTTATTGCTAACTAGTTACAGGTAAACTCGTACTAATTATGCTTTCTATGTAGCATTTTTAACGTTGACGTGCACTATTTTGCATTAAAGCAAGTCATAGCTTGCTTTCTATCCTCTTGAAGGTTTATTTTTGTTCAGTGAAGTTAACTTCCTGCCTTCCTGCCTTAGCCTAATTTCATCCTAATTTCTATCCAGTACAATAGGCGGAGTGTGAGCAAGAACAAGACAGTGTTTTATATCAAAGAAAAACATAAAAACTACTGAGCAGGGTAAGCACTAGAGAGTGAGGAACATCGGTTTGAAGGTCTGTTTAAGAAAATCAAAGAAACACCAGAAGTACATTCAGATTAAACAAACACATATTGTAGATTTTAAGGAAAATCCACAAATGGTTCAAAGAAGCATAACAACCAGCTATGGATAGCAAGTTTTGTCTAAAAGCCGAAAAATCCTATTGAATTACAAGAAAAAAAAAAAAAAAACATTTTCACAAAATTGGTCTTAAGCCTATATTTAGAGTAGAAAAAAAATCAAGGGTTAGGGTTAGGGTTATTACAATAACCCTAATTATATTGTAAAATATTACAATATTTTGTAATATTGTAACTACAATATTA